AGCTATGGGCCTGATAAAAATCTGGTTGCTATCACCCTCTCTGAGGTTTGCCACTCTGGTTTTGGGTCTTTAGTAGTTTCAAAGGCATTGCCCTGGAAGTTAGTTGGCATTGACCTTTTAATTATTTTTTTATCTGTGATTAGGAATTTTGCATCAGTGTGAATCCTACTTATAAAGATGGGTGTAGAAACAGATCAGAATCCTCGTCATATACTCCCTGCCTGTAAAGTTTCTTTGGCTAGTTTGAAAAATACGTCTGCAGTCAAACTAGTACCTGCCTGCTTTTGATGCATAAGATGTATTGTTTTCTTTTTTCATACTCCTTATTGGTTGTGTCTGTCTATCACTCTGTCGAGATCACACATATGTTCATATATAAATATACATATATACACAAATAAGGATATTTTTGTCATTTGAAAATCACTGCATTAAATTGTGAATCGTGGCAATACTAGAGTCCCTCCCTCCCTCCCTCCCTTCGTTCCCTTTACTTGCTTTTTCTTGTATGTTTAAGAAAAGACACCTTGACTATTATAAACTATTATGGTTTTTCAATATGATAAATCCATGGCATAAAATAGAGAAGGAAGAGAGAGGGAGAGGGGACAGAGCGAGCGAGAGAGGAGAAATTGAGATTCATAATTACAACTACGATACCTAATATCTTTGATTCTGTTACAGTCCACATCACATCACATAGCAGACAGCTTTAACAATATAGATCTGGACGCTTTGTTCAGCCTTATGCAATCAGAAAATCTGGTTGCCCCATATACTGTATACAATAAGAATGCTCAGCATTTGTTTTGATTCTACAAAAACTTTCCTTGATGATCTTTTAATTAAAAGCTTTTTGTTATTGGACCACTAATAAAAAAAATTCTGGGTGATGTCTTTGCCATGCTGTAACAAATAGGATTGTGCTGTTGTAGCTACCAGAAAAATGTGCTATGGAAGACAAAATCATATAAAATATGTTGATGTGAGAAATTAGTAAGAGAGCATTTATTTTTATTTTTGTATAAAAGATGATACTGGAACGCCAATTTTAATAAATTGATTGTCACGTCTGTGTCTAGTAAGTGATGGCAGTATCAAAGACTAAGTGCACGCAAGAGTGAACAAAGCATGGTTATGGTGGGAGATCACTGGTGTGCTCTGTGATTTATGCATGCCAGTCCATCTAAAATTGAAGATGCATAAAACAACGGTGTGCCTAGCAACTCTCTATAGTGCTGAGTGCTGGCCGGTCATCAAATGCGTTGAATACACTTTACACGCCATGGAGTTGCGCATGCTTCGTTGGTCATTAGGTGTTTCTCTCCTGACCATGTCAGCAGTGACACAGTTCAGAAGCAAATGGGCACTGTGCCAATATCAAAGAAAATGCAGGAGAAATACCTACAGTGATATGGTCATGTTCTATGAGCGACACCCCACACCATTGTTTCCAATTTAATTTAGATGGCAAGCACCCACGTGGAAGGCCGAAGCAAAGATGGCAAGATACAATAAATGTGGACATGAAAAATGCCCAGTTGCATATGACACCAGTTTGTTTAGTGAAAATGTTTAAAAATGTATCAAATACTTGTTGGAAATATAAACAACAGCCAGGCACTTATTACCATGCCTGGTGGGTATGCCCTAACGCTAAGAAATATTGGTTTAAGATCCATAGATGGTTGGAAAAGATGATGAAAATACAGATAGAATTTAAACCGGAATTGTTTTTGCTAGGAATATTAAGACCTAATTATGGTAAAGAGAATGATTACTTGATACTACATGTTTTAACAGCCGCAAGGATAGTGTTTGCCCAATTTTGGAAAAATGAAAATCTACCATCTGACCAGGCTATAATTACTAAAATTTTAGATTGTGCAGAAATGGATAGATTAACATTGGAGATGAAAGAGAGTTTATTTTAAAACTTGGGAAAAATTTTATCAATGGTTAGAGACGAGTTAGAATCTGAAAAGAATCTAATATTACAGAATAGATGATGGATGTTTAATTGAGTTATAGTTATTAGGTTGACAACATCTTTATTTTTAGTGATTTTCAACCGTTAATGTTGACAATTATGATTAGTTGAGATTTTATTAATTACGTTTATTTACATAGATGAATTTTATCTGTTTATTAATCATTAGTACTATGGTTATAGTTAACCTTATTTTAAAATGGCTGAGTATGATATAAATTATGTTTATTTACTATTATGATCCGAACGGTAGTTTGTTTGTTAAAGCATGAGATTATTGTACCTACCCTTTTTCCATCCCAATTTCCCATCCCCTTCCCTCTCCTTACCTGTATTGTTCCTATTCTTTCCTCATTTATATAAATCCAATAAAATATTTTAAAAAATGCCCAGTTGGACCTGGATGCTGCATTTGATTATGCAAAATGGCTGTTGTTGACCCGAAAAGCGGACCTTGCATCTGCCGAAAAAATGCTAGGATGCTACTGCTGCTGATGATGATGATGATGAAGACAATGATGATGATTGTCATGTCTGTTGTTTGCTTAGGCATCTTAGCTTTTTGCCTACTACAGTTTATGAAATCTGTTGCACGCATAATCAATATACATTCCCATGCCTTAGGAGGTGCCCATATTTTTTATGTGTACATTAAGTTTTGCAAGGACATTTAGAGTCCTAAAAATTATATTACCTTGCAGATTGTCACTCTATTAGCATACCATATATATATATCATATACACAGATATATACCATACACACACACACACACAGAGAGACACACACATATATAAACTAAAGCTCTCAGTATTTGTCTGTTTGTAACCTTCAATCAGGCAAAATGATGCATCATAGGGCAGCAATTTTTTAATCAACGTACTTCAAATGAGTTAACTTAAAAGAATGCTTCGAAATTCCAAGGCCATTATTCCTGTGGGATTGTAATTTAGCAAAGTTGTGGCTGCTTCAGTGCAGCTGCAGTCACGTGATTGTCATTTGCAGTGCTCCCTGCCAAGTTCTCCCAAGGAAAATCAGTGGGGAAGCTAGCAGGAAGTCGGAGGTGTCTCCCATTCCCACTCCTGTTTTGCCTGCCTGTGGTCATTCTGTTCTCAGTTTAAGTAGGCAAATATTTCTAAAATGATGATCCAACAGGTCATGACTTGTCTAATCTCCAATATTGTCCTGGAATTCTACAATTGTAGCATTCTCCTCCTCTTGCTAACTTTATTTGCCTTACAAGCATGCACAGACAATAGCCGCTCTCCACAAATCTGGTATAAAGCAAGACAATCCCATTCTGACTTTTTTCAATATAAAACAAGCCTGTCTTTGGCGAAAGGGGTACATACAGTATTCAGGTATCTACATTCCAATGGAAAAATTGAGCTTACAACAGAGAGCTGATATCAGTCTAATATGCTATAATATAGATTGTTGAGAAATATCATTTGTATGCAGGATGTTCATACATTGTGTGTGTGTTTCTCCCCTTGTATAAATTGAGATGGGTTTGGTTTGGCTATAGCCCCTGCTATTGGTTCCAGACCATCATGTGCCAAGCCTGGCTGAGGCTTTGGGATGCTCTGTGCTTGCATTAAATCGATCTACTGCTGCACATTAGAGCTCAACCTGCCAGTGAATCAGACCTTTTCTTTTTTTTTTTTTTCCATTTCTCTGCCTGCCTGCCTGCTTGCCTGCCTGCCTCCGTAGCACCAGTCTTATTTTAGCTTACCGAGGAGGAGGAGGAGGAGGAGGAGGAGGAGGAGAAGGAGGAGGAGAAATACAGGCAGAAAAAAATACTAGACATTGCAGCAACCAAGGAACCCTTATGAGTAGATGGTGGATGGAAACTACTTCTCTTGTCTCTTTCGTTTTTGGATTTTACAGGATTTCTTTGCTGCATTCAGCTCCAAGATGAAGCAAAACTGACACACAGAGAAAATTATACACGCAGTCACACCGGGTGAAAAAAGAGAAAGCAGAGACCGCTGGATAGCAAGGGGGGAGGAATATTCTACAGCTTCAGCATCTTAAAGGGAGCCCAAACCTCTTTCACCTTCAGATCTTGGACAGTGCTGAAGATAGCAGGATGGAGCTAAAGTGAAAACAAACCTTGGGGTGTGGGGGGGTGCTTTTATTTTGGTTTTAGGATTTTTGTTATGTTTTGATTTTTGTTTTGGTGTGTGTATTTGTAAGTTATTTTTGCCTTTCTTTTTTTGAACAATTGCTTTTTTTTTTACAGTGCATTGTTTTGTGAGATGGAAAGGCAAGTACAGTACTGATGTCGCAAATCTGACAGAAATATTTTATATCGATTTTTTCTTTTTTTGAGCATAGATATTTGCCAACCTGCTCAGTATAAAGAAGCCTGCATTTTTCTCATTAAATTGAACTGGAGCACTGAGTCTATGTGAGGCTAATTTGGACGGTGTCTTTTTATTTTTATTTCGATTTATTTCCCTTTGGGCTCTGAATGTAGAAGTAGGAGTGAGAAATTGGTGCATTCATTTTCTTTAATTGTATTTTTTCTTCCTTGGTAGGATGGAGGTACTGCTGTCACTAATTTAATTTGTCATCTCCCCCCCCCCCTTTTCCTCCTCCCGAAGGCAACGTCTTTTTTAATTGAAGTATTTTTAATTGAGGGTGCATTGAATCTTTTTCATTGCAATTTGTTTTAGGAGCAGTTTGCTGCATTTTCCTCCCATTAACTGCAATCTACTCTTTGGAATTATTTTTTCTTCTTCTTGGGGTGTGTCCCCCCCTTCCCAGTTGCAGTCATTTGGGTAGAGGTGGAGAGAATCTGTACATCATTTCCATCTTACATAGGGAGGTGCAAGTGACCATGTCCAGGACCTCTGCTGCTTTCTTTGGCTGTGCTCCTGCCTGAGTGCCCCCTCCCTCTGCTGCAAGCTCCCCAGCAGCATCGACAACAGCCGATGGGATGCGATGAGCTTCTTCTCTCCAGCAACATCCTCAGCAGCATAACCCCCGGCCCTTTGCTCTTTGCAGGATGGCTCGGTTTGGAGATGAGGTGCCAGCCCGCTATGGGGCAGGAGGTTCAGGGGGAGCTGGCTCTGGAACAGCAGGCGGCGGAGGTGGCCGGGGTGCTGGGGGCGTTCGGCAAGGTGGTCCCCCAGGGGCCCAGAGGATATATAAACAGTCGATGGCCCAGCGAGCCCGTACCATGGCACTCTACAACCCCATTCCTGTTCGGCAGAACTGTCTGACTCTCAACCGCTCCCTCTTCCTCTTCAGCGAAGACAACGTGGTGAGGAAATACGCCAAAAAGATCACCGAATGGCCATATCCTTTCTATGGGGGGGGAACTGTTCAGTGCAATACTTAGGCCGCAGTAATTACTTACACTTGAGAAAGGGCAATAGATAACACTGTCCTGCATGCTTGATCCTGCCTCTGCATAAAGTCCCACTAGCACATTCTCCACCCCAAGCATTCCTGTTCAACCCCTGCATGTCCATATCATCCATTTCTCACATCTGTATCACTTCTGGGTGCATTTCCTCTCCCGTCAACCTGTTTCTTCCAAGGCTCTTTTTTTTCTCCTTTCAATCATATTTATTTAACTGATACTGTCAGCTCTATTACTGAATTCATCCTTTTTCTGTTCCCAGGAGGTGTAGTGCTTCATTAGGAGATGCTCTTTTCTTTTGTCCACCTGTCTTTCTGCTCTCAATATCACTCTTTAATATGTACATCATTTTATGTGTCTGTTTCTCCTGCAATCTCTTCCTATGGAGAGATTCTGAGCTTCTCACTAACCCAAGCATCAGATACTTTATTTCCTTCTCTCATTGCTTTACCTTTGAAACCTGTTAAAAACTACTACTGCAAAATAGTTCTTCCTTTATCATGGAAAGGTTGGAGATGGTGCAGTGGGGGGGGGGAACTGGACAGGTAGCATTATCTTTTTATTTCTTTCCCAGTAGTTCAGAGTTTTAGACACTGCCCCTGTTTCCCTTTCTTAGGATAAAATGGCTTGTAGGCCTAAGACCTTCATGGGCAATCAGTAGTTAGTGTGGTTGCCTAATATATGTTATGATATGATATGGGGAGTAGGACTCCCCAGCACTATTTCTAGTTAATTACAAGAAAACTATAATCTTGTCAAATTGTATGGATCAGAAATCAGCCTAACAATCTTTAGAAGAGACACGTGGTGAGAAATGAGTAGCTAAATGGGTTTCCCCTCCCCCAACTGTTCTACAGGGCTACCAAGAAGTGTTCCATGTTATTAATATGCATGTAATCCAGGAGACCTGAGCACTTGAGATCCAAGAAGATGGTTAATATTTTTGTGGGGGAGAGATTGATGAGCATTGCTAATTGTGGTGGTGGTGGGGGGGGGGGTGTTTTCAAGCTTTTGTTTCCTCTGATATGGAAGAAAAATCCAGATTCATCACTCCAACTCGGTATGTAAATACTTTATTTTCTTTAATTTCTATAACTATTTTGTTTATTGACAAAGAACAATATGTGACTGTAATATATAAATTATGTTATTTTTATGGATGCTCTTCAGGTTTGCATGTACTTTAAACCGAGTTTATTCTGATGAAAAAAACTTAGAATCTACTAATACTTAGGTGTAAAATATTGTTTTTATTCTCTGATGCAATAGTAACAGTATTTTTTCAGTGTTCTTTTGTGCAGATTGAAATGTAAGTCACTAATTTTAGGGAGCTACCGTATTCTAATATAGCAATGTTGCATGTCTATGGCAAAAATATTCTTATGTTTGCTACAGCTTATTTTGTACTTTTAATGAAAGGATTATGTGCAGTTTTGTTGTCAGTTTGAGGAAAGACATATTTTGTTTACAGAAAGGTGATACTAGAACACATCACTAAAATTAATGGTGTAAATGCAAGTGTAATAACAATCAGATTATAGCTCCTTATAGTATAAAAGGTTTTGTACATTTTTTAAAAATGTACATGGCTAAGTTAGCTCATCACCTTAGAAAAAAGAGATTATTGAGCATATCTTTAAAGTTAATAAATAGATACTAAAAATACTGATTGAGATAGAAATATATACAGATGGATGGAAAATCTATTAACTTTCATTCATTGTAATTATTCCTAAAACCTAAGAATCTTTTGAAGATTCAAGTTATTTGTGTATATTGTTTCTCATAGATGTACAAATTAGTTTTGTGTTTTACTAATATGAGGCAATAAAATTTCGGTAATATGAAGTAATCACAACCAGGTTGATCCTGTGAATGGAGTACTGGGATTTACACAAGTTGTAATCTCAGTTCAATCACTAATTATATAGTTGGAGTTTTCTTTCTAAGTGCAAAATAGAAATAATAATAACAACAACAGCAACAATAATATGATAGGAATAGAAGAAGCTGTCTTAATGCTAGTTTAGCTTATCAATACTGACTGCAAATAATAGGATTTTTTTTCTGTTTCATCTATAGTTGCCAAAAATTAAATTTCTGTAATAGTTCAACAAGAATAAATGTCAAAGATTTATAATGCTGTTCATACAATAAAATGCTATAGTCAGTGCCCATGTTAAATCTTGGTGGGCACATGGGTTTCACAGAGTTTAAATGTGTAAAATGCTCAATTCCCAGCCTTCTCCTGACCATCCACTTTTTCCCAGTGTTACTTCAATATTTCAGTGTTCTTTTCTTGCATACCTTCCCAAGATTTCATTATATTTAACAGAGAGGTCAAACATGAATGCCAGATACAGTCCACCAGAAGTGTTGGCTTCTCTCCATTTCTAATCAAAGAGTTAAAAAAAGACATGATTGACTATTTTTGTGGCAATATCACTTGGCCTTTGAGACAGAGTAAATTGGTCATTAACTTGTCCCAGATCCTAGTTGCAATAGTACTCCAAAATGGCTAGAAGAATGAGTTAAAAGAGGGCTATGCAAATAAAATGTGAAATGTAGATTTGCTGAATGATTTTCATTATATTCTTAGACAATGTACCTTACATAAATTTGAAGAGACAGACTAATAGATGTAAATGTAGCCTTGGACATTAATAACTGATATTCATTTCTATAGGAAACAGTAAGATAGTAATATGGAAATAATATCTGAGGAATGTTGAACTTGCCCAAGCACTGCATGACTCCTTGTGTTGAGAAGTATTATTCTTTCTCTTCCTTCCAAAAGTTACACAACACTGTAAACCAATGTTCATTTAACTATAATTTAATAAATCAATCACAGTGACTGGGTTTGTACAACACACTGAAACAAAATAAAACAAATCATATTGGACTTAGTGTTATGTTTGAAATTTAGTATGGATGTAAAGTTGGGGAAGCAGTATGCTTTCTAAACCAGGTTTAGAAAATAAGTCTTTTTTTAGTTTAAGGATGGTAGGAAGAAGATAAAAAACTGTAGGAGCTTAATAAACATGACTGAAGAAAGTATTGAATTCTCCTTTAGGTCCCCAGCTTCCAACTGATGATCTTCACCTAATTATTAATAACAGAGACATGGACTCATGTGTAGCTTTTGAATTTTATATTCCAACAGGGAGTAAAAGTTGGTAATGGAGGAGATGGGAAGACTTATTAGTACTATAAAAATAGTTGTCTGTAGCCTGCCAAGCTTGTTTATTCTGTGTTCTGCTTTGTCAATACCGTATCAGTGATTTTTGCAGTGTATGAGCCAACATTCTATCTTGGATTTTAGCATGTTTTGTATTAGGTGGGTTAGCATTCTCCAGTTTTATGTCATCCAAATAACTTGATCCAGCAGAGTCTTTGATTGGTTTGGATGATTTGAGATATTGTTCATTTCTGTCAGTTTGATAAAAGCTTGGATACATTGGTTAGCATTCTATTCAGAAACTTACCAAATTTAGGGAAAAAAATATACTATTGCATCAGCAGATGCAAATGAAGTAAGAGTAGCAAATGGGACAAAAGTTACATATTTTAAGTTAGGATCTTCCACTCATGAAGGAGAAGAGTGATAAGAATTTAAGTTACTTGTGTCACTATTACCAATAGAAAATGGGCTAAATCTATGACTTTTAGTTGCTCCCATCCTTTTATAAACCACATACTGGATTAGTTCATACATTGTGATAAATCATGGTTTCTTTAACTGTAGCTCATTGAATAAAATATTAGCTGCATCCATCTCCCAGGCCAAGTCATTAGCAATAGTTTACAAACCACAATGGCTACGTTTTTGTCATTACATGTTTCTTAACCATGGCTTGTTGAATAACAATTACTAGATTCTCAAAGTGAGCTAAGACCAAACCGGATAAGCCACATTTTTGTTTCACATGATATTTGAGTTCAGTGATTGCCTCTTTCCAAAGGGCTACAAGGATATTATATCTCCAACAACTATCTGTGTCTTTTATGTTGTACAAAATGAATGCTCTTGTCATTTTCTGGAGCCAGAAAACCATGGAATTTTTGACTCCTGGGGAGTTTCTCTAAGATCCTTCATAAACTTGGCAACTAGTAGCAATCTGTGATTTATGCTACTTTAAGGGTAGAAGTGGGATGCAGTTTGGATATTCTTGAGGAAGAAGCTATAAAAAGGTAAGTATGAATACATCATGTTATTTTTTTTAATTTCTAAAAAAGAAGAGATGCATATAAATCTTACACAACTCCAAAGCAACTTCCTTTGTAACTTTTTCTTTCAAGAGTTGCATTTCCTCAAGAGAAACTGTTCAGATTACATGACAATACTGAAGCAGGCAAAACTGGAACAAGTGGTGGGTAGCCCCCCCCCCCAAATTGAATCTTTCCACATTCCTTTTTCTTCCCCCCCCCCCTCTTGTCCCCTAAGTTGCTGGGGTAGTAATTGTCCCCTCTGTTTGGACTACTAAATTCAGTTCAGGTTACCATAGTCCAAAAAGAAGAATAACAAACTGGAGTAAGTTCAGAGGTGGACTACTAGTAGTACTGGTGAAGAGTCTGGAAATGAAACCCTATCAGGAATGTTTAAAGTATCTGGGTAATCTTATCCTATAGAAAATACGACAAAGGGAAATGACACCAATCTTCAGATATCTGAAGCATGTCCTACAGAAGAGAGAATACATTTCTCTATTACCCCAAACCATAGAATCAGATCCAATGGATTAAAACAACAAGGAGCTCAAGGCTAAACATCAGGAGAAACTTCCTGATTGTATGAGCTGTAAGCCTCAATACAGAAGCTATCTGAATATCAGAATAGGCTGCCTCATTATTCTCCTTCACTAGGTCTGGATGCTCACCTGTACTAGATGCTGCCCTGAGCAGTGGGTTGGATTAGATTCCCTCTGTGGTC